ATGTCCAGGGACAGGACTAGTTCTTGTTGGACCCTCAGGGTTCTCATTTGGAAGCAGGGGGTAGAATCACTGTCTTGGCCAGGATGAGGATGCCTCACGCATGAAGAGGACACCTGGGGTGGACAGAGAGAGGGGGGAAGGGAGGCTTCCGAGGTCCTTGGCACTGCCCTTGAAGCCTGCAGGTCCTGCTTCTTTGCTCATCTGGGACTCTGGAGAGCAACTGCCTTGAAAGGTCACACAAATAAAGGTGCCTGTTTGGTTTTGCCATATCCCGGCCTGGGGCTGCAGTTCTAGTGCTGGACGCCAGGGGGCAGGCAGCCTCGTGGGTCTATGGTGTCCACCAAGCTTCGGGGGAGCAACTGGAGCAGAAAGAGTTACACAGAGGTCATTCTGGCTGTCCCCCGGCCTCAGAGGCAACTCGGCCTCCTGTTACTAGTGTTCATCTCCACAGACTGAGTTGGTAAAAATCAAGAAGGGGGGTGCTCCCAAATTCTCCCCTTTAATCACTGAGCAGCCAAGCACTCAGCCTGTTCCAGGTGCCCTGGGAGGCCAGGTGCAGTGCTGAAGATGACTGAGTGGTCTCTGCCTGCAAGGAACTCATAGTCTGGAGGGGAGATGGACAAAAGCATGACACCAGGGACATGTGAAAGGAGAGAGCAAGTGCCCTGCCTGAAATGAAGCAGGGTGCCGTGAGGGAGGATGAGGGAGTCACTGGGTAGGAGACCCTGAAAGGCCTCCCTGGGGTGACATTTTCTGAGACCGGATGACAAGAGGGAGAAGGCACCACTGGGGCAGAGACTGGCAGGCAGAAGTGAGTTTGGCCAGAGGGTGTAGGGAGGCGGAGCGGGGCTGGAGCGGGGAGCAGGGCAAGGGGAGGAGGGAGGGACTGGGTCATGGGGCCCGCAGCCTATGTTAGCTGTGTATTCCTCTCTGACAACATTGCTCCAAAATTTAGCACCTTAAAACTACAAATATTTAATATCTCACCATTTGTGTGGACTGGGAATCTGTTCACGGCTTAGCTGGGTTGCTCTGCTTCAAGGTGTCTCACAGGCAGGTGCTGTGGCTTCACCTGGGCTCAACTTGGGGAGGACTTGCTCCCAAGTTCATTCACAGGCTGAAGGACTCTGTTTGGACCGAGAGTCTGAGTTCCTTTCTGTCTGTTGGCCTGGGCACTCCCTCAGTTTGCTCTTGGGTGGACGACTATTCAGCGCAGCTCATAACATGGGTGCTTGCTTCCCCAGATCCAGAGATATAACAGAGAGAAAGAGAGAGAGAGAGAGCGGTAGAGAGGTGCCGGGCTGGGAAGAGGCAGTGAGCAGGAGGGAGGGAAGGGACGGGGAGGGAACACCAGCGACAGCAGGTAAGAGGGGAGGGACAGACTGTCTGTCATTACATCTTGGAAGTGACCTCCCGTCACTCTTGCTGTATCCTGTGGGTCACAAGCCAGTCACTAACCACTTAGTAGCTGCACAAAGAGTGGAGCTTCCTGGTTGGACGTGCAACACGGGCTGTGCCCCTGGGGATGCCCCAGGAGGCGTGTTCAGCAGGCTCACCCCAGGACTGGGAAAAGTGGCCACATTTTGGAAATGACTCAATGATGAAAAGTGTAGCCTCCCTCTCATCATTAGAAAAGTAAAAATAAGACAATGAATTAGATGTCATTCCTCATCTGCTGAACAGATCGGAAG